AGGCTTGGTTTCTCATAAAAGTTTTCCTCCTTGTTCTGGGTGTGGGAAGAGAATTTACCTATTTTGGGATTAGCTGTGGGATTACGACCAGGGGAAGAGACAATAGTCTCCTCTGCACAGTGACTCTCTTGGGTGCAGGTGCAACGGGCTGCTTAACATTAGAACGTAAGAATGGCAATACTGGGTCAGACCAAAGGTCCATCTAGCTCAGTATCCTGTCTTCCGACTGGCTAATACCAGGTGCTTCAGAGGGAATGAATAGAACAGGTAATCGTGAAGTGATCCATCCTGTGTCGCCCATTCCCAGCTTCTGGCAAAAAGGGCACCATCCCTGCCCATCCTGACTAATAGCCATTGATGGACCTATTCTCCATGAATTGACCTAGTTCTTTTTTGAACCCTATTATAGTCTTGGCTTTCACAGCATTCTCTGGCCAGCAATTCCAGAGGTTAAGTGTGCGTTGTGCGCTTTTTAATTGTATCTATAAAGGTGTAATGGGACAGGGAGAAGAAGAACATACACCGATGATAACTTTTGTTTTTCCCTCTTGTGTTCTGCTTAGTAGGATGGAGAAAGAAGTCAAGGGTAAGAGCCCACCCCCGTTGTGAGATGGAAGGCGCACAAGAGCCATGAGACAGTGAGCATTGTTGATGCCAGGCTATGGCGATGCCATCTAGCTGGAAGCGGAGCAGCCGTCACTGTCAGTGAGCTAAGTGTCTGGTTTGGTGAGGAGTCTGGTCACGGCCCACATGGCTCCAGGCAGGGATGCGCCGTTAGCTTGGTCTGTGTTTGTAAGAAAAGGTTCCCGTCTAGCTGTGGCTACGAGGGAGACGAGGTCCCCGTTATCAGGGGCTGCTCATTTTGTCTGGCCAGGAGCGGTGTGTCCACCGCAGCGAAAGGTTGCATCTAGGAGGATGACTCTAGCTGGTGAGTTTCTTGCCTTCCTTCCATGTTTCTCTCTCTCTTCTCTACTGTGTTGTCTGACCCACTTTCTCGGTCTGTCCTTGTCTCTACTTGTTCGGTCTCCTTTCGTTGAACACGGGCAGGCGTGCTAGGTGTGCATCCCCATTGGCTAGGTCTCGGAAGCCATGTAGAAGTGGGAGGGGACAAAAATCACGCGGGGCAGTGCGTGCGAGAGTGGAGCATCACTGTCAGTGCTGACGCAGTCTCTGTTCATCGAGTGGGGTCGATGTAGACAGGATGGGAGAGGGAGGCAAGGATGAGGGCAAGATTTTGCCCATCAATTGAGTTTTGTGGAGTGATGGCTCCTGCTTGGCTTATTTGTGGCGCTTGCAGAGGAACAGTCGAGCAGCAGCCGAAGGAAAAGCTGGCAGAGGTGGACCAGAGCAGCCTGGACATCCTTGTAAGCAGAGATTAACAGTGCTCCGCTTTCTGCCTTCCGCATAACTGACTGTGAGTAAGCCGTCAGTGCTTGGAATTCCTCATCTGTGCTCGCTCTAGTTTTCTTCACAGGCCGTGAGCTTCCTCACTGGGCACGGGGCTCTGTGGGATTGAGGCTGGGGAGGGGCCAGAGTCTGCTCTGCAAAGTGACTATGTCGGGTGCCGTTGCAAGGGGTGCTTTTTGGTTGTAATGCTAAAGGTGTAACGGGAAGAGGGTTGAGGGCGGATATGCTCAGTCCTCAAGTCTCTTCCTTCTCTATCACTGGGTGAGCTTCCCTGGTCATGCCACTCTAGGTATCCTCTCTGAAGCAGGCCATATTCAGTAGCGGACGTGAGCAGGGGTCTGAGAGTAGCCCTCGACCTGTGTCTCCAATCACCAAGTTGCACCACACGCGTTATGTGGAGGGTCCAGGGCTCTGCACAGCACTCCGGGCTGACCTGCTCCAGCCTGGGCTCCTGGGTCCTAACCCTCGTGGTTACTGCTCCCCGAGGGCTCTGCTGGCCCTGGAGCCCGACCCCAACCCGAGCAGCTCTTAAGGTCTGTGAGCGGTCGAAGGGCGGCCGGGAACTGAGGAGCAGCCACAGCCCCGGGACCCCACCCAGCACAAGGACAAGAGTGGGGAGCGCTGTGGCTGCCTGCATCATTGCGCCACCTAGCGCAGCAGTCGCCCTACCCTGCCTGGCTCTGGCTTCTGGCCTCTGGGCTGGTGAAGGGCCGGAGCCTCTGAGGGGAGGAGGCGGAACTTGCACTTCAGTGAGGGGTGAGGCCTCGTGGTGGTGGGGGGGATGCAGCTGCCACAATTTTCTGTCTACCCCCACCTCAGCTGCCCCTGCTGCCCACAGGCTGTCACTGCTCCTCCAGGGCAGATGCACGCTGCGCATTTCCCCAACTGGCCACCGGGTGTCACCGCTGCTCCAGGAGAAACGCAGTCTGTATGTTACCCTGCCTGGCCACCGGATGGCATTGATGGTCCAAGGCAGACAGCCCAGGCATTACCCCGGCTGGCCACCGAGTATCACTGCAGCGCTGTGGGAGGGAAATGGTTTCTGCCTTACCCTGAGTGGCCACGTAGTGTCTGTGTTGCTCCACGAGGGAAATGCTTTGTGCTTTGCCGCGAGTGGCCACCAAGTGTCACTGCTGCTGCATGGGGGACAAGCTCTGTGCATTGCCGTGATTGGCCACTGGGTGTCACTGTTGCTCCAGGGCAACTACATTCTGAGAAATACCCCAGGTGGCCTCCAAGATACATGTGTGGTAAAGGCTGAGTACAGACGTCTGCTTCCCTTTAGGTGGGGCTCGGTTTCTAATAAAAGTTTTCCACCTTGTTCTGGGTACAGAGGGAGAATTTCCCTATATTGGGAGCAGCTGATCTTCCTGGACAGGGAGGAGCATGTTCACCTGAGCAGAGGCCTGGAACCGGAAAGGTGAGTACAGGTGCTGAGTTTGTCCTTCTTCCTATGTGTCTCTCTCTGAGCTCTCACATGTTGGCCAACATACTCTCTCTCTCTCCCCTTGTCCTGTCTCCTTG